TATGTTATAGTTGTTGCATCGATGTAAGTAATATTTATTTCTATCAAGATAAAACTAGTCAAATTGTGCACTCAAAAAATGTTTTATTGAGTTTGCCAACGTTTCGACCCGAACTTGTAGATCGAAACTTTAGCAAACTCAATAAATACAAATTTGCACATCCTGACTATCTTTCGTCCTTACAACTTTAACAGTTAACTATGCTACCATCTCCAAACGTTTTAATTATGTAATAACAATTATTACTAGATAATAGACAAATGTTTTTTTAGACATAATATGTCGGGATTTATACATATTAATCCCGACAAATATCCTTAAAGTTTGAAGGTTGTAATTATTCTTAGGGGGATTTATCTCGGAATCAAATTTTTTTGTTCCATCTATGGGCACTAGTGTTGCCCAAGACGAGTCTTGGTCTTGCGAACTCAGACTTATAGTCCTGGAGCCAGGACCCAAAAATCGACCTGATCGCAGGCGAAGGTTTGATTGTAAATTATGAAAGTGTATGTTATTCTGAGTAAAAAAAAACTTGTCTGCCGTTCCAGAGCCGCTGCTTTCAAAAATGGCGGCTGCCTTAAAATATATTAGGCCAATAATTTGAGGATCGAAACGGGAAATCCGTTGCAAAAAATATGAGAAAAGTTTTTATTTTTTTAACTTGTAAATATGGGTTCAGACATGTAAAAAACAAAATTGCTAACGCATGCCACCAAGATAAAGCTTTTTACAGCCAAAAAAGTCAGATTTTTTCGATTTTTTGGGGGTTTTTGACCTATAACTCCTAAACAATGCATCAAAACGAAAAATGCTTTCTTTAACAAATTAAAGAACGTTAAATTTTGCGTCAAACGATTACAGAAACATTAAAATTTGGTTACGCCGTAAGGTATAAAACCACGGTCAACCAAAGCTGAGTTTTACAAAATTTGTCAAAAACTGAGAAAAATTACTATAAATGGTCCTGTAACTTGGAAATGAGTTCCCTAAGTGGAAGAACCCATAGAATCAAAGTTGTAGAGCATCAAATTTTGCGTCCAGTGAGTACCAACTAATTTAATGTAGGTCACTGGCTGCGAAAAAAATCGGTAATCTATCGATGGTTAGAAATTGGTAATGAAGGTAAACCTGATTTTCAATATTTCAACAGTATGGGTGTCTTTTCTAATGAGTTAGTTTTGTTTAAAGTCTGTTACATGTAGTATAAGCTTCTTTTCCACCTCTCAACAGCAAAAGATTTTGGTAAACGATGTGCCGAAAGATTCCGAATTTTATAAAGGACTAACGAATCCCGATTCAAGATATATAATTGGCCTAAAATAAAAATTTCAGTACTCAATGGACGCAAAATTTGATGCTCTACAACTTTGATTCAATGAGTTTTTCCTCTTAGGGAACTCATTTCCAAGTTACAGGGCCATTTATAGTAATTTGTCTCAGTTTCTGACAAATTTGGTAAAGTTCAGCGTTGGTTGACCGTGGTTTTATACCTTACCTTACCTTTTATACAAATTATAAGGTCTATGTACTCGTTTGACGCAAAATTTAACGTTCTTTAATTTGTTAAAGAGAACATTTTTTTGTTTTGATGCATTGTTTAGGATTATAGGTGAAAAACCCAAAAAATATCGAAAAAATCTGACTTTTTTGGCTGTAAAAAGTTTTCCCTTGGTTTCCCGCGTTAGTAATTTTGTTTTTTGCATGTCTAAGCCCATATATACAAGTTAAAAAAATAAAAACTTTTCTCACATTTTTCGCAATCGATTTCCCATTTCGATCCTCAAATTATTGGCCTAATATTCATTAAATCAGCCATTTTTAAAAACAGCGGCTCTAGAACGGCAGACAAGTTTTATTTTACTCAGAATAACGTACACTTTCGTAATTCACAATCAAACCTTTGCCTGCGATCAGGTCGATTTTTGGGCCATGGCTCCAGGGCTATTAGGCTTGGTCTTGATCTTGCGCAAGAGAGTCTTGCAGTTATTAGCTTATTACTGTAGAGATATTACTGTCTTTTTTTAGATAGAAGAAACCTAACCCAAGCCAGAATGAAAAAGTAGTAGCAAGAAAGAAAAAAAAAATGCAAAAGTATATTGGTTAAGTCAATTCTTTACATATATTAACTAAATTTGTCAAATATTAGTAACTATTTTGCCTTCATTTTTATTCAAAAAATCGATTTTTCTTTTATTAGCCTTGGTCTTGGTATTGCAACAGTTAGACGTTCGTGATCTTGGTCTTGCAAAGTGCAAGACCAAGACCGATTTTGGGCAACACTAATGGGCACTTATCTTAATATATAGGTTTTTCTTCAACAGATAAATTTAGCAATGCAAATTCCTTTAAAATGTTGTTTATTATCTTAATGATACATTTTATTTGACATTTTGAGCAATGTTTTCCCTGTCATCAGAACATTTATTGCTTTAATAATTTATTATAATTATCATCAAATATACATAGAACTTCTAAGAAAACTAAAAGTTGAACTGCATAACATATCTACAAGTATAATAACATAAAAAATGTCAATAACACTGCATTATATTAATAATCCAAAAATAATAGATATAGATTGAGAGTGGTGGGGGAGCACATCACCAATAATAATAAAATAGCAGTAAATTATAATTTAAATTGAACTTAAAATCATGCGGATCTAATGAATAAAATTTAAATATAACAAACCAAACCAACAGCAAATTTTCAGTAACAGTTTAAATTCTGGTTAAAAAAAACAACACCTGTTTTACTAAATAGGGATCAAAAAGTGGGGGACAGAGAACAAAATAAGAGGAATTAAGTCCAAATCACTCAGAAGAAACCTAAAGAACCAATTATCATTCAATGGAATAAATATCTCCTTATAATGTAAATTAAAGATGATATAACAATCAACATTTTATAAGTATTAAAAAAGAATCATAGAAGTAATGATAAATACATAAATATATAAAAATATTATTGGCTGTGAGAGGGCTATTGCAGTGTTGTCTGTTTATTGACAAGATATGAATGAGTTAAATCCGTATGATTTATTCTTAATCTATTTACAGCGGCCTTCTCTCTGCGATTTGGAAGATTTGATGTGATCTGTGTCCAAACTTTCAATATTTAATAATTTTATTAGACGAACACTGTTCATCCCTACATCTGACAATAGTAATTCTTTCTAAATCAATATAAATAATTTATTCATTTATATTTTTTCGACTATTTTATTCGCAAATCATGTTAACGTTTCACTTTTTTCTTTTCATCTTATCTTTGAATGAATGAATTATAATGAACTATAGTTAATCCAACAGTGAAACTGTGGGACTATGGCCGGCGCTTTATATATACTATACCTCATAACAATCTATGTAATGTAATAATAATTCATTGTCCTACGTATTTTCTTTTATGAACAAAGCTGTTTTTTTACATACAAATAGATTTATTAAAATCCATAGGCTATCGAACAAAATATAGAAATGCATATAATTCTTATTTTATTTTTATTATTTATTTATTTGCTTTTATTTATTATTTCTGGCGTGCTACCAAAGGGTAGTTTCTCTTCATGTTGTACATGCCATGTTACTTGTTTCATATTTACTTGTTGCATTTAATACAGTTGTAAATTTCAACAATAAAAAAAAAATTATTTTATAAAAATTATTTGTTTCTTTAAAGGAGTTTCTTCTTTCCAGAGAACTATAAATGACTCACATGCGTTGATGACTCTAGGATTTTACGCCTTAAAGCCCAAACAGATACATAGATCATTTTGCAAGACTTGGCTATTTAAAGTCTATAATTTTCACACATCAATAATTGTAAGTATTTTGCTTTTCCTTTGTTATCCGTTCCACTGCATTCTGGAATTCCATACCATTAAACATTAAAATCCATTAAAATCCGCCATGCACCATCCTTATCCACATTTAAAACCCTTTTATTCCAATTCCTCTTCACGATTCAATCAGATGCTGGCTAAGTATATATTATACAACAAGGTTTTAATTTAGTTTTTATATTTTTTTTTTTTACATGAGTATGAAACAGAATTTCGAACAGAACTCTCACAAAGCAGTGTGAGTAGGTATATATTTTTATTGTTTTTGTTACCTTTTATCTTTTCATTCATAAGAGTGTATTTTTTGAAGTATATTTTATTTAAAAGTATTTTATTTTTTACTTATCTTCTGCACTCTCCTCTCTATGTGGGTATGTATATATATATATATATATATATATATATATATATATATATATATAATATATATATATATATATATATATATATATATATATTTGTTTTTTTCTTTTTCTGCTCGAAATATATTGCGTCATTGGTAGATCACAATACCTTAACATGTTTTCACTTAAACGTCTTAAGGAACATATATAAATCATTTATTTACTCTAGTTATTTTCTTTTATTCTTATTTTTCTTTTCTTTTCTTTTTTTATTATTATATTGTAGCAATAAAATTGGTTACTTATAAAACTTATTCTGTATTTCTTTCCAATTTTATTTAGTTATAAGTATGTTGTTGACTTTTGTACCAATAATATAATATTGTAACCGTTGTACCCATCTGCTTTCCTTAATATACCCTCCAAAAACTATGTATACACTCATTTTATTACTTAGATTGTAGTTACTCTTTATTATAATAGGTCATCTGGCCAGATTTATTGTCAATTGGTTTAAACAATATTTTTATTCTCAAGGGACCTAGTCCCAGAATAAAGATGATTTTCTATTTCTATTTCTAAGTAAAAGCTAAATAAAATAAGATAAAATAATCTATTTTATTTATATAACTTAAACAACTTTAAACTTATCATCCTTTAATTTTTATTATTCCTTTATGTTAATCAGTATCAGTATTTAATCAAGTTACTTTTTAGGTTTAGAGTACGGCTTATGGTTTTACTTATACGAATTGTAATGTATAACTAAATCTATAATGAAATATTATTTTTGTAAAAAGATTTATTAATTTTTATATTTGTAGCTCAGATATGCACTGCTTCATGTATGAATCAAGATGCGTGTAGTCTACAAGTGTATCTCTGACAATCTCTCTCAGAATGTGAGTCCACTCTCTCTTCAGCAGCCTCAGTTTGACTACAGTCGACAATGTGCTGGATAGTAAGGCCTGCAGGCTGGATTTACCTTTCTCCCTCATGGATATAGTTTCCTACAGAAAAAAAAATAATAATAGTAATAAAAAAATCTAATTATAATATTCATAAATATATTTTAAATATTAAAAAAATAATAATTTTTAATCTTCATAAAATATAACGTGAGAATATTGTATACATCTTTCAAATATGAAGATGTCCGGACCTATTATTAATTACCATAAAATATCATGCATAAATAAAAATATTTTAGCTACAAATGACTGAACTGTGATATAGGGGTGTCCAGAAGGGGGTTTTATGGAGCAAGTTGGGCCATCAAAAGTTTTGAGGGGAGCACATTTTGAAGTGGTTATGAATTTTTGGAATAAATGGCAAAAGGAAAACGTTGAACAGACAGAAGCAAGTATAATTATGCATGATCTATGATTTTTCTAATTCTACTTTCCCTTGCTCTGTTTTTAAAAAAGGATGATCAATGAAATACTTTGGGAAGGGGGAATAGGTTCTTGCACCATCGACCTTAGGGGGGGAGGGATGGTCACCCCTGCTATGATATATAATTAGGGATTTTTATTCAAATAAGTTTAAAATAAAAATCTGTAATTACTATGCAAGGTAACCAAAATTCAATTATCCAGGAGAAATACCATGGAACAGTTGTTAAGAGCTCAATATCAACAATAAAATTGGAAAAATATTAAGTTCTTGGTACAAATCCCTTTTTAGCAAATTATTAACATTAATCTAAAGCTTCGTGAATGGCTTCATTTCATCGTAAACTACAACTTTTTTATTTACCAACATTCTCGGAAATGTAGGTGTTTCAATCTGGAGATCGGTAAACTTTGTCTATTTAAAGAGGTACGAAAAGCACAACACCCGTTTTCTTTCCACTTGAAACGTAAGATGATTTGATCACAAATTGAGAAAAAAGGTGGCCTACAAAATTGTTGGTTCGTTTAGCGTGACCTCCACCCCCAACGTGTCAAGATGACGAGATTATATAGGCCAAACGGCCCAACATTTTTGTAGGCCACATTTCGAGTTTGTAAACAAATTAACTTACATTTCAAGTGGAAAGCAAATGGTTATTCATCAGTTTTTATTACCTCATTTAATCAATTAATTTAATGATTCAACGCCTTATTTCTGAGTTTACGGCTTTTTTAAAGTTTACGTTAGATTTAAGGCACGATTAAAATGTTGAACCACCGCCGAAAATAATCTGAAAATAGTCTCAATTTGACTTTATAGCAAAACCGCAAGTGTCTCACAGGTCAGTCTTGCAAGTCTGGCAGGGTCCGATCTTGCATCAAATAAGGCAGTCTTGGTTTTTCACTTTTGCAAGACCAAGACTTATCTTGTGAAATACTAACCGTATTCCAGGAATGGCACAAAAAAATAATAAAAATACGATTGCTGGGTCAAATTTATTTTGAAAAGTTACAAATCAGTATTCTAAAAGTAACTTTACAGTTTTGAAATGTTCTCATATGTGCTACAGACCTCTCAGGTAAAATAAAGTGAAAGAAATTCAATCTATATTGAATACCCGTCAAATAAGTTTTCCATAAACGCTGAGTCTCTAAAATCTGATCTCCTTCGGATTTGTACTATGAGATTATTGCTTTAATACCTGCTTGTTCTTCCTCCATTGCAATGCTTCTTTTGCGACCACAGTTCTTAAGGAAGGATCCGCAAGATCAAGCCATTCCCTAGGCCGTTGGCTATTCTGACCTAACTGGAGCCTTTCCAGCAATGGCACAAGGAGGTTGTCTGGAAGACATTGAATAACTACGTCACTTAGCCCTTTAAATTCCACATCACTTGCTGCCACCTCGCTGGGTGTTACCTGAAACATGGACGAGTGAACTTTTGTTCTTATTTACCAACTTATTACAACAAACTTTATGCTGTTAATTATACAGAGACAGATAGTATCACTTAAAAATGAAATCGGAACCCACGTGAATAGTTTTTACGATTTATTAAGTTTTGTTTAATGCCTATTTTAGAACAATAATTAGTTTAAATTAAATTGTCAGGTTTTGTGGTATAAAATATCTGGTATGTCCACTCGTACGACTTTTTTACCTATTTAAAAAAAAAACAGAACTTTAAATGTGTCCATTAGAAAAAAATTGGATTATATCCATTTGCCTAAAACCCGATTTGAGAAATCATTGAATATCATTAAAATCAGCGAATAAAATTCAATAAACTGCAACTTTGCTAAAATTGGTCCAATTCAGATTATTTTTCGATGGTTTTGTCAGAAATTTAATATCCTTTCAAAAGGTAAATTCACAAAGTAATAGCATTTACAATTTATATAATTATAGTTCTGTATAAACTACTTTTTGTTCTATATTCACAAAGTAATATTATTTACAATATATACAGAATTTTCAATAGTAACTGATCGTCATTTGTATTATACTATAAAAATGGTACAACGGATTTATGATAATTAAAATATTCGATGAATACTTTAGATTGAAATCTCTTTGCTATATATTCAACAAAAACTTCGTCATTTTTTTTAATATAACTAATGTAACGGGGGTCAATAATTTGTCAAGCTCTATCGAATGCAACAAAAAATCGAATAGGAACATAAAATTTCATATTTATAATTTTTATGGCTAATTAAAAAAAAAATATCTATATTGACTTCTACAGATTGGTTTCCACAGACGAAAAATAAACACGAATTATCCAGGGGATCAAATTAAATGGTTTATATACAAATTTGAAGGAGCATTTCAAGGGTACTGTGAATCTATAGAGATTATCGGGATATTCGAATTTCTGGAATACGAACTTGAGGGATTCTACTGTATAATATAATATCACATAACATAAAAGAGATAAACCAGAATTATATAATTTTATTGATTAAAGTTTTAGCTAGTGTATCTATGTGTGGGTATTTATGTGTTTTTTTGTTGTTGTTTTTTTTTGCTTTTTTTTTTATTTCCTTATTTTTAAGTTATTTTTATTTTATTGTACATACTTTATGATTATTATTTATTTGTTATTTTACTTCTGTTTACTTTATAGTTTTTTGTAATGTGAATGTGAACTTACCTCACTATAACTAACGCCCAAGTGGCGGAATCTTGTAATATTCAATAAATATATTTAAAAAAAAAAGAAAAAGTTTTAGGATATACGTTAGATCCACACTAGAGATTCATAAAACCATATATTATTATTTTAAGTACTTAGAGGTAATAAACAACACTCCCTTTATCTAAGTTTTCTATTTTCGACGTTGGTTAATGTGTTTGTTTGTGTTAACTAACATAGCTAGAAAGAAATTTTATTTTGTGCTATATCTTTACTGTCACTTACCTATATATGTAATATACAGTGAGAGAAATTATTGCGATCTTGAAAATTTCTAATCTGAGCTTTCAACGGAAATACACATTTTGAGGTACCCTGAGTGCAAATAACCAAGTCCCACAAAATGGTCTGTGTGTCTGTGTCTGTGTGTTTGTATGTTATAGCAGTCTAGCTCAAAAACGAAAAGTCTTACAAAAATGATATTAGGTATTTAATATAGGTATATGCCTTAGGCGTGACAGCAACTTTTTGCTTAAACTCGGCTAACCGGAAGTGGCACTTTATATCAAAGCTGAAACACATTCTTACAATTTTCTCAATTTTCTTACAATTTTACAATTAAAAAACGGCTCTAACAATTTTGATTAAACTCGATGTATCATTGTATAATGAAGTGGTCTTTAATATCAATCAGGTCTTATCCCCATTGATGTCACTTTACAGGACTTAAATGCCCAATGTTCATACACGTCTTCCTCTAAAGTACCTTTAATATGGTTTATTTTAAATAATTAATCATATCACATTATTTAGATTTACAAATAAATTCTAAATAAACTTTGCAAGAATTTGATAATTGAATAAAGGAGATAAAAATACTCATCCAGGTCGAAAATGAACCTCCCGAAATACTAGTCAGAAGATATACGTAGAACATATAATTGGAAAGCGGAGAATTTTAGAAAAAAAAATAATATAAAATAAATAAAGTTGTAGAAGGTAACAGATAGTGACGAAAAAAAATATAGATAATAATTTCCGAAAACTAAAATTATTTAACGTAAATCACATGTTTCAAAGGAAATTAAATGCAATTTTTTTAACAAACTTAAACTTTTATAAATTTTTTTCTAATTAAAGTAAAAAAGTATTTCAAATCCACCTAATCAAGGCAATGACATTGTTTAAAATACTTGTGCATTTGTTAATTCATTGTACTTGTGTGAAAGAAGAAGTGAAATATAAAAATATTTCATGGATATGTTTATAACCTTAAATATATTTACTGTAGTTTAATAACTCTAGACCTGATATTATATTTAAATATTTAGGTATCTATCGTCCGTTTATTCCTAAAAATCATCATGTAACTTTTATAAAATTAAATTAATGAATAGTTTGATGAAATTTTCTTTTGTGATATTCCAACAGTATCCACTTACAATTAGTGTGACAACCTGTCTATGAAAGACAATGAAAATCATAATTCATTTAATAAACTTGAATGAAAATAACATTTAATAACTAATAGTCGTACAATCCATAATCAACTGTGATATAATAAATAGGACTTTTATTATTTTAATGTATTATGATTTGTTAGCTGTAATTTTTAGCTTTAGCTCAGTTAAAAATGAAATTAAAAAATTTAATAATAGTCGGAAAAATCGGAAAAGTTAAATATATTGGCTCTACCGATTCTTTACAAATAATAATAAAAGGCTTAGCGAACCCGAAGGCTCGATGCCGACACATCCAACCGGTGGTGTTACTATCTTTACAAATCATAACTAAAATTTTCTAGTTTTAGTAACTATTTTTCATTCATTTTATTCATAAAAACGCTTCTTTTGTATTTTATATTATTCTTTTTGAACTGGATGTAGGTTTCAGAAATGATGTTTTCATGTTGAGAACTTGGCAAGATGGAGTTAGTCGAAATCAAATGAATGATTGAGGAGAGAGAATGTTCGGATAATTTGGAAGCGGTGAAATGTAAAGAACGTACTATATTCAGTTGACTTTACTGCGAGTCTTTTAGGAGATTTTTGGTTTCACCAATATAGGATCGTCAGGATAAAGAGATCCATCCGGTCTTGGTCTTGTAATAATTTAAACAGTCTTAGTCTTGTAAAAGTGCAAGATTAAAGGGTCCTACACACAGAACGCGATATTTAACTCGGTGATATGGCGTTACAGTTGCATTACAGCCAAATTGAAGTCATTTGCGAAAAATGACTTCCTTGGCAGGTACCGACATATCGTCTAAAGTACTTCGGAAGTTATGGTTAAATAAACTTCCTGACTCAATAAAAAATATAACTTTAGTTTCCGATGAAAATTTAGAAAAACTTGCGATGATGGTAGATAAAATAATGGACATGACTCCACGTTGCGACGTTTTTGCCACGTCGAGTACTAAAGTTTGTCCAGAAGCTTGTTCAAATAGTGGCACAGATGAATTATTAAAACAGCTTGTTACCAAAATAGAAGCAATGGATGCCCGTATTTCCTCTAACAGGATTCTAAAAGTCTAAGTAATTGTCCAGATCACCATAGTGATAGGAAACTCAATCTGAATAGAAACCGAAGTCACAGCCTTAGCCAAGGGCGCTTCGATCCGAATGGAAAATATTGTTTTTATAATCGCCGCTTCGGGAAAAGATGTCTACCCGAAAAGTGCCAGCAACCTTGCCAATGGAATCAGGAGGCAAACAGGATACTGTAGTTGAAGTAGTGGCTTATTCTACTATCAGAGGCCGTAAGTTTTGTTTATTTTTAACAGATAAAAATTCAGGTATGAAATTATTATGAGACAGTGGAGCAGATGTGTCCATTATTCCTCCTCAGGCACAAAGTAGAAATAACATTTCAGATTTGAAATTATATGCAGCGAATGGCACAGAGATTCCCACGTTTGGTGTAAATGTTTTAAATATCAACTTGGGACTTCGTCGAGAATTTAGATGGCCTTTTATCGCAGCCAAAGTAAGTAGAGGTATACTAGGTGCCGATTTTTTACACAATTTCCACCTTTTGGTTGATTTAAGAAATAATCAATTAATTGACGGTAACACTAAATTAGGAGCTATTGGTAACGTTTCAGCAGTCGATACAAGCGATTTTATAAGCACTGTTGCCAATTCACATAAATTTCCGAATTACTAAAATCATACCCAAATCTAACTAAACCAAGTTTACTCCCTACAGCAGTAAAACAAGATGTTTAACATCATATTGTAACAACGGGTCAACCAATTCATTCCCGTCCTAGACTACTTCATACAAGAAATTAGCAATCGCGAAAGATTTCAATTTATGCTAAACCATGGAATTATACGTCCCTCCAAGTCACAGTGGTCGAGTCCACTGCACTTGGCACCCAAGAAGAATGGCTCAATGCGTCCATGTGGTGATTATAGGATACTTAATTCACAAACCATTCCAGATAGATACCCAACTCCAAGAATTATAGATTTTCAACATATACTTTATAAAAAACAATTGTTTTCAAAAATTGATTTATTTAAGGCCTATTTTCAAATTCCCTTCGCTGAAGCAGACAAGCCAAAAAACAGCTGTGACCACACCCTTCGGTATGTTTGAATATAATGTAATGCCTTTTGGCCTCCAAAATTCCCCGAGTACTTTTCAACGATTTATCAATGAAGTATTCCATGGCCTGAATTTTTTGTTCCATATCTGGACGACTGCCTAATAGCTTCAAGTTCGGAAGAGGAGCATCAATATCACCTCAAACTAGTTTCTGACCGTCTTGATAAATATGGA